CAACTCGGCAGCACGACCGCTGATTACTGGGCCTTGCAAAGGATGGAACAAATTTACTAGGAAAGAAAGTTGCATCAATTTTTATTTTTTCCAATTTCAATTTTTTATTTTTTATAATTTTTTGTATTTCACATGGCACGCTTTGATTTAGAAGAAAAATTTCAGAACAGTTTTTGACACTTTCGATACCAGAAGCAACAACAAAATACACGCAAATGTTGTTTTTGCTCTACTGATACTAACTGTTTAATGTGCCTTGCTAGTGACTGTACCTAATGCACCTTTAAGTTATCAAACGTCGGAAGAAAGTAAAATTGTACCTACTTTTGCATCTCTGGTAGGTATACCCCAAACCAATCGTCCGAAGGACTCAATGTACGAGGAAAAAAAATCATTGATAAACGAACGCACGAGAAAAAGTTTACCAATATCAGCGAATTCCACGAGTTGTTGCATTTATCGACAAAAATGTGTTTTTGGTCGAAAATGGTGATTCACCTATCTTAGAAAACGCATTATATTCAGTTTTTTTTTATAAAGAACAAGATTCCATCGCGAAATTGTATTTATGTAAATGAAAACTTAAAAAAGATATACTAAACAAGTAATTTTTAAGCAAAAAAAAAAAAACCGACTTCAGCTCTCATATAAAAATTTAAGATTATCGTTAATTTCTTCATGATATAATGTTCGGATTCAAACCAAATTAGTAGGTGAGGCAACACCTTTCCTTTAAAAAAAGAATTATAGAAATAAAAAAAATATTCCGACGAATTGATAACCTCGCCTTTTTGTGAAATCGGTTGAAAAAGCAAAACTAACCACTCATGCTCATATGTATACCCATACCTGCGTATATAACGTATACGCCACGTAGCACCATACGCACTCATCTTCTTCTTTTTAATTTCGTGGTGCACTCTTGAAACGTCACAGTCACACGTCCATTGCCTCAAACATGAACATTCTATTTGAAAGCTTACCAAAGTTATTAAAAAAAAACAATTATAATTTTTTCGAGGGACAATGAAAATATTAGTAATTTCGGTACTTCTTCGCCTTAATAAATGTTTTAAGATAAGTTTAGTTAATTAATGTTTTAATGGCACTAAAAAAGAAATGTCCTTGAATGGCTGTTCTGCAATTCCCAAAATTGATTTATACTTTTCCGTAATCAACTAGCTTAAACCCCATCGAAAATTTTTGGGACAAGTTGGAAAGGCGGGTTCTACAGAGGCCGATTTCTTTACGAAGGGGGCAAAAAGAAAGGTTTCAGAAAAAATGTGCGAAAATGTGCGGCAAGACTATCCAAAAAAAATATAATAAATTACACGCCAAAACGTTTAAATAATGGGGTAAGTACTAAATATGAAGTAGTCCCAAATATTGTATGCATTTACATATTTGAAAATATTTGGTATTAAAAACCAGCGACGTGAACCGGATGAAAAATTTGGTCGGTTCGGTTCAGCGGTTCGAACCGTTTTTGCACGTTTGGATTGGCTCGTCAAAGCGGTTTTTTGGGTCTTTGAACCGGGGTTTCGGTTCGGTTCAACGGTTCGAAAAACAAAAAATAACGCGCAAGTTTAAGTGTCAAGTGCAACAACGCACAAGGTTACGGGTCAAGTGTCTGTCAAATGGGATGGGTTGCCTTTACATTTGATATTGTCACATGGTAAACAAACACGGTAGGTATTACCATGTTTAACAAAAAGAAAAAAGTGGGTACATTTATCTATTGGAAATTGGTTGAAACGAACCTTTAAACCTTTATAGAAAGTGGTTCGGTTTCTGGTTCGGATCAAACATTTGGGAAAATTTCGGTTCGGTTAATGGTTCAGTTAATTAATAGAAAAAAAACGGTTTTCCGGTTCAAAACCGGTTCACGTCACTGTTAAACACCGAATATTAATGTTTTGTGAAATTCTGGCATTTTCGTTTTTCGTTTCGGCTTTTAGTCATATCATTTTAGCAGTAAATGCGCATCGTAAACTAAATATAATGTGAAAAAAGTTAATTTTTTTAATTTTTCTTGATGAAATTTAATATCAAAGACATAATATAAAAAAAAAACGAGTAATAAAGTTGCTCACTGTACAAATATTTGTTTTTTTTTTTGTGAAAATAATTTCATCATAGTCCATAATCTTACCTCGGTAATTGGTAATGCGGGATTCGGATGGTCTGGACTTAATGGGCGTTTAGTTGGCGATGACGCAACTGGTGATACACCGGAACCGAATCCTTAAAAAAATACAAGATAATTTGCGTGCGCACATACATACATAAATAACCCAGAGCAATAACTAATCAAATTCAATTCAATTACACTAAATTTTCCGATCAGCTTTTGGTTTTTTTTTTTTTCTAAGTGCATTCTTATCTCGTTAAGGTGGTCTCAAACAGATGCGATACTCTCGATGCGATAAGATATCGTATTTGATGCGATAACGATAGAAAGCAAAAAGGCCCTCAAATTGGTGCAATACGACACACTGTGGCACTTCATCTTTCTCATGTCAATCTTTATATTCCGAATACTTCAGATGGTAGGTAAGTATAATATGGGGTAATAATTGACGAGTTGAATTATTAATTTACAATTTCAGAACTCCACAATGAAAAAGACACTCAAATCGTGCGATCGATATCGTGCTTGCTGAGATACAATTTTTGAAAGCATCGCATCGCACCTGTATACCGCGCATCTGTTTGAGCACTGCTATATACCGCAATGTTTTGTGTTGGTCACATATCGTAAATTTTTGTATGGCACCGGTATTGTCACATCTGTTTGAGGCCACCTTTATATGTACATACATATCGGCGCCTGGGTGAAGTATTGTCGTAAGTTGCTTTCGGCAGACTTTGGGAAATCGTGATTGAATTTGTAACGTGATTATAGATTTTTCCTTAAGTCCCGGAGAACGTTAATGGTGCACGAAATTTTTAAAATATTTAGTTTTCTTTGTTTGCAGTTACTTATTTTTGAGTTTACGAAGGATTTTCTTCTACGGCAAAATGTGAAGAAAATGTTTACTAAATTATCGATAAAATTATAGCCAATATATCGGAAACTGAAGGATACATCTAAAAGTGAATAAAGCCATTTTAAAGATCTTATTTTGAAATATTTAATTGTATCTATAACTAAAAATCGTCAAAATGGTTGTTACGATAAACTTATATGAGGCCGTGCGAGCAGAAGAGGCGTAACCCAATTTTGAATTTTTTTTTGCATTTACCTACTTAAAATATGTAGTCCCCAATGCGATAAATTTTAAAACTAAAGTCGCTTATTCCCTTATTTTGAGGTGAAAGACAACATAGCGTACACCAAATTAAGGAATACGCGACCTTTATTTTAAAGCTTACCAATTTGAACCAATTTTAAGAAGTTAATTATGAAAAAAAAAAAAATGTGCTCTCATGGCCTCATATTCAGGCGACGATTTTTATACATAAAACAATTGTTCTTAACAGCGCACACAAATTTTTGGCTGGCAATCGGACACCCCCGTTTTGTATCCAAATGTATATTTACAGTTCAAAAGCGAACCCAGCGGGACCAACGAAGGATTCGTATTAATTAGACTGACATATTAAATTATCAGAATAGTTTTGAATTAGTTAGCTAAATATGTTTTGAGCTTCCATTATACATACATATATGTACTAACAAAATTTATTATAACTCACCATTCTTCAATTTGCAGCTGGTGATTATATCATTCATTAATTCTTTATTCTTCTGTAAGAAGCAAGAAAAAAACAAAATATTATGTGAGAGTAATATTATGCGAGTTTGTTCATACATATGTATTTCAGTATGTATGTATATACATTAGACGGCATCACCAAAAAAAGTTGCGGTTTTTCCGTCGCCGGGATTACAAAATTTATTATATTCTAAGACGTTCACCAAAATATTTGGGAAAAATATTAAGATTTAAGTGAGCTGGACCGATTTGAAAATACCTCCAAAAATTAAGTTGTTTATGAATAAAAATAGTTTCTTAAAGAACTTTTTGAAAAAAGTCCCCTCAGATGACAAAACAGATTAAGCTTAAAAAATCTGCATAAAAATATTAAAAATCAAAAAAAAATTTTAAGAAAATATTTTTATTCATAAAAAACTCCATTTTTTGAGGTATTTTGAAATTGGTCCAGCTCACTTAAATCTTAATATTTTTCCGAAATATTTTGGTGGACGTCTTAAAA